CGTTATCAAAGTTGGTGCTGTTGATGCAGATGAACATAAATCGTTGGGCGGTCAATATGGCGTACGGGGTTTCCCAACAATTAAGATTTTCGGTGCAAACAAACGCTCACCCACAGACTACAATGGCCAGCGCACAGCTAAAGCTATTGCAGAGGCGGCTATGGCTGAAGCCAAGAAAAAAGTACAAGCTGCTTTCGGTGGCGGTAGCAGCGGCGGCAGCTCTTCTAGCGGTGAAGATGGAGGCAGCGGTGATGTAATTGTATTGACTGACGACAACTTTGACAAATTGGTGTTGCAATCCGAAGATGATTGGTTAGTTGAATTCTTTGCTCCATGGTGCGGCCATTGCAAGAATTTGGCTCCCGAATGGGCCAGAGCTGCCACAGAGTTGAAGGGCAAAGTCAAGTTGGGTGCCTTAGATGCTACGGTTCACCAGAGCAAGGCTGCAGAATATGGTGTTAGAGGTTATCCCACAATCAAATATTTCCCAGCTGGCAAGAAATCCTCTTCAGATGCTCAAGAATATGATGGTGGCCGTACTTCTTCGGACATTGTTACATGGGCTTTGGACAAGCACGCTGCTAACGTTCCACCTCCAGAACTGGTCGAGATCATTGATGAAACTTCATTTGATTCTGCTTGTGAAGGCAAGCCATTGTGCGTTATCTCCGTGTTGCCCCACATTCTTGACTGTGACGCTAAATGCCGTAATAAGTTCTTGTCAACCCTTCGTGAGTTGGGCGAAAAATTCAAACAAAAAGCCTGGGGCTGGGGATGGGCTGAAGCAGTGGCTCAACCTGAATTGGAATCCGCATTGGAGATTGGTGGTTTCGGTTATCCTGCCATGGCTGTTGTTAATTTCAAGAAAATGAAATTCTCTGTACTAAAAGGTTCCTTTTCCAAGGATGGCATTAATGAATTCTTGCGTGATATTTCCTTTGGCCGTGGTCAAACGGCGCCAGTTAAGGGGGCTAAAAAACCTTCCATTAACACTGTACCTGCCTGGGATGGTAAAGATGGTCAACTACCCGAAGAAGAGGAAATTGATCTTTCCGATGTTGATTTGGATGACATTAAAGATGAATTGTAAAGTGGTTTAATTACATTCTAAGTACAAGAACAACAAAATTCCACCAACAACTTCTTCCTCATTTCATATTGTATTTTACAACCAAATCACTTAATTCTTTTTCATAAGACTGTCATTAATTTCATAGATTATTTTTTATAAAAAACTACAACTAAATATAATTTAATTAAATAAAAGAAATATTAGTAAAGCCAATGGTTTTATATATCTGGAAGCGTAGTGTTTTATTATAATTGTTGTTGGTATTGTCCTTAAAGAATCTTAACCATGAAAAGATTTATATATAATTGAATAAATCGAGCCCTGCCTATTTAATCATTCCATTATGATGATTTCAAAGCATTATCATCTTTATGATTGTCACTTCTCCAATTAACACAAACATGCTTTCTTATTTTTAAAATATTGTCGGGGGCATTCTTATCTTTAGGATAGTATTGATGAAGCAGGGCATTTAAAATGTCTACAATGTGGAGATAAAAACCACTGTTTATTTTAAATTAAATATTGCCAAAATATTCATGTGTTTGTACACTTATATATTAATGTTTTGTTTATTTATAGATAAGCCGGGTTCATCGTTAATATATGTTGAAGGTAAATGACCAAGTAATATCTTTTAAATTCATAAAAATTGTATAGCGATTATGTTTAACAAATAATAAAAACGTCATTACAATAAAATGATGCATGCTTTTTTGAAGACTTTAAACTGCGCCAGAATACATTAATGCATTTGCGATAAACTGTGTGTAGTCTGTATAACACATGGTTTAATAGCATTTTCTGCTTATAGTGAGTCAAACATTAAGACGAACCGAAAAAAGACACGTATACACACAAATCACTATAATCAATCTTTACAATTCTGAAAATATGAACAAATTAAGTGGGTGTATTGCCGTACAAGGAAAAGCAGACAATTTTATCAGCGCGACTAGTGTTCTGGAGACTTGTTTATAAGAGAAAAAAAAAAACGGATTGATAGGAAACATTTGTTTTTTGAAGTGCTAATAACGACGTTTCATATTAAATAGAGTAGCTTAAGAATAGTTTACACATCATGTTAGTCATGTTTGAAGTGACGTCTCACACTAATTTTTAGTATTGTGTGGCATATTTACAGGCGCATTCAATAATTTTTAAACTAAGAAATGCTTCATACAGAGTGGCATTTCTATTTAAACAAGTAAAAAATATTAAATCCACGTTAGGGTAAAGGAAACATTAGAACCCATTATGACCCACAAATGCCAATTTTCAGACATATTCATGGGAAAATGTTTCAAAAATCATCAAAATACCGAATATCAGGAAATACCGCTATATGGGGCTATACAAAAACGTGGACCTATACATACAATGTTTCGCTAAAGGAGCTAGAACCTATTAGGATCCACAAATACCAATTTTTAGACAAATCCGCGAAGAAATGTGATCAAAATACAGAATATCGGGAGGTACCGTACTACACCAAACCGTGGACCGATATATCTCATTTTCAATACCAACCATCCTAGACACAGTACAAATTGTTCTGCTAAATTTTGACGCTCTACGTCAAATAATATGGACTGTATCGTAATTTCAAGAGAAAGGCAGGCGGACATTATTAAATCGACTTAGAATTTTATGCTGATTATACATATATGTACTTTATGGGGTCTACGATGAATATTTAGGGATGGAATGACAAAGTTAACATATCCTCCTTTCCAAAGTAACATTTTTTTGTTGAAGTGCTAATAAATACGTTTCATATTAAATACAGTAGATTAAGAATAGTTTACACATTATGTTAGAGTCATGTTTAAAGTCACTTTTCACACTATTTTTGAGCATTTTGTAGCATACTTACAGGCACATTCAATAATTTTTAAACTAAGAAAAGCTGTATACAGAGTGCCTCTCAAAGAGCCCCACTTAGAGGTTACCCTTAGTTTTTTGGCCCGGAGAATTTGGCAAAACTTGTGGTCCATTTTACAGCTAAATGTTAGACTTCTTCCCTGCCCTTAACTCTCTTCCGATGCGATTAGTTTCAATTGTGGCCTATAGAGCGACTACGAAATTAGTAAAACTTAAATTTTTTAGTCTAAATGTACATCTTAGGAACAATAGGCTTTAATTCTTACCCTACCCCTACCCCCATGCCAAATTTCGTGAGGATCGGACGATAATTGCGACATGCATATAATACCCTCAAAACGTAGTGTTGAAGGGTGTAAACATTTAGAAAATTTACAATTCAGAATTGTAAGTCAAATTGAAAAAATCGCACGCGATAAAAAATATGGCAAGAATTGAAAAAAATGGAACAAAAAATATTTACTTTTTTATTTTCGCGATTTTCTTAGATTAGCAAAAGACCATTCCGAATTGATGGGAATTGTGAAAATCAGCGGTTCTTGATTTATAAGCAGAATAAATAAGATCAATTCTTTTACATATATATTGTACCTATTTTGCTATATATCCGATTTCTTGGCTATTAGCATCACTGTAATGGTCAGAAGTGATCTTTTAATGTATTTGTGATTTGGCTGGGGTTGAAAATATTCGCGGTTTAGTGGAAATTTTCCTATTTTTTTAATAAAAGTTAGGGTCTATTTTACACGCTAATTATTGTCCGATGGCCGATGGCCCAAATTGGTAGGTTTCTGCTCACTCCTAAACTGCAACTCCATATAAATTTTCCCGTCGATTGGTTTATAATTGTGACCTATAGAGCAACTGCAAAATCAGGAAATTTTTCTGTTTTTGGCCCATTTCAACCCCTAAATATCGTGCGATCATCTCCAAAAACAATAGGGTTCTATTCTGACCATAACCCCACCCCCATTTTCAATTTCGTGAGGATCAGTTCATAATTGCGACCTGTAGCTTGATTACAAATTAACATGGACAGACGGACGGACGGCCATACATAGCTAGATCGACTCATCTCGGCGAGATAGGAAGATCCATATATACTTTCCTATGTGGGAAACCAATATATATGTTACATAATTTTTGACCCAATCAAACTTATAATACCCCCAACACATAGTGTTGTAGGGTATAATTAAAAAATGTCACAAAATAATACAAAATCTATATTAAAATCATTATAGGCATCTTTTTATAAGTCTTTTGTGCCACGAGGGCATTCTGATTTGACAAAATTTGTCAAAATCGGTCCAACCATTTTTGAGATATAAGTATTTTATCAAACATCCCCTTCCTTTGTATATAGTACATATTGTATATATTTCGCTACTTATATATCCGATATATTTACTATCGGCATCTACGTAACGGTCAGGATTGACCTGTTCGTCTATTTGTGATTTCGTCGGATTTAAAAATATTCGCGGTTTAATGAAAAATTTGACTTTTATTTAACACAAATGTTATGGTCTATTTTACCCACTAAGTATTACCCGATGACCATTAAAATTGGAAGACTTCTGCCCAACCCTAAGATCTGCTTACTTTCGCGTCGTTTGGTCTTTAATTGCGACCTGTAGAGCAACTGCAGTATTTGGTCCATTTCAACCCCTAAATATTATGTGATTATCTCCAAAAGCAATAGGGTTCTATTCTGACACTAACCACACCTACATTTTCAATTTCGTGAGAATCGGGCCATAATTGCGACCTGTAGAGTGATTACAAATTAACATGGACAGACGGACGGACGGGCATACATACATAGCTAGATCGACTCAAGAGATACAGAGGCATAATACCCTTATCACTATGTGGCGTAGGGTATAAAAAATGTATCATAAGTGTTACCATCAATATAACAGTACTTTTAAGAAGTGGAAAGTATTTCAGGTAGTAATTACACCATCGAAATGATGATAAATCTGTTTTAAGTTTGCTTGTTAATTTAAAGTATTTTAGAAAAATTGAACGACCATAGACATTGTTTTTTTTTTAATTTTTCTACAAAAGTTTATTTTTATTTTATTGTAAAAATTTGTATATGTGTGTATAAAAATGTATAAAAAACTATCAAAATATGCAATTTAAAAATTTCTTAACAGCTAATCTTATAAATAAATTTGTAAATATTCCAAAAAGCATTATATAATTTGATCTTATACAATTTTGTTTTGTAAATTCTTTCGACTAAATGCCATTGTATTTTCTTAAAAGTATAATTATTACACATGAGCAATAATTAAATTCTATAGGAGTAAAAAACTACAAGGAGTTGGGTATTTATCTTATTTTTGTAAACAACCTACTTTATATCTATCTGTCTAATGGATAGACTTAAAAAAACTCAAATAATAAATAAATGGATTGTATTCGAACGTATCGAGACTTTGTTAAGAATGTCTAATCACAATATTATTAAGTAGGTATAAAAAGGGTGGCGTTGTTTCTTTACGTAAAAAAAGAAGTTGGGGTATTTGAAAGGAAAATTAAAGAGAACATTCAATTGGAATTAAATAAAATGTAAAATGGTTTTTGCATTTCACAGAGATAGTCGGGCATACATATGTTCCTATATGTCAATGCATTCTTTCTTAGAAGGAGAAATTAGTGTCTGCTTTATGTGATATATGAGATTTTTAAAAATCGAGATATCCACAGTAATTTCGAGAGGTTGTTGTCTACAGACAAAATGACAACGATAATACTTTATCCAAGGTGCACATGTTTTATATAGACTGCCCATTGCAACCCTGCTATTACTTCGTATTGTGGAACTGTTTCTTGTGCTGTATCAGTTTACGGTTAGAAAAGTGAATTTTTACAAAGTTGATCCAAATTCCAGATATTCCCTCAAATGATAATATTATCCTATGGGCCCGTATACATTTACTTGGAATGCAACAAACAAAGAAAATATTTAACTGAATTTCGATTTGATACCTGAGTTAAAATAAATCAAAGACTGGTTATGAGCAAACACTGACATTCCACAAACAACGTTCTTCTCACTGAGTAATACAATAAAAACAACAACAAAATAAATAAGCAGACAAATAGACTGAGGTCAACATGGGGATTAATAAGCCACACTAACACACATACACGCACAGAAATACATACATGGCGTACGTAAAGCCAAAAATAGCAACAACTATCACAACATTACCAACAACGCTTCATCGATGACTACGGCTACAAACTGAAAACATACAAAAGTAACAATGGCTCTAAGGTTTAAACAGTGAAACCAATTCAGAGAAGTAAAGATGTGAGCGATGAGGGCTTGTTAAGAAATAAATACGTAGTCTAGACTTGTGTGGTTTGATGTTGTTTGCAGACTCAGATGCTGGCAGAATCAATTTGTTGTGGATGAAGGAAAAAAGGAGTACATAAATTGATATTGGTAGAAGCAACAGGATAGTTTCTAAAACAATTATGGCTACCACATAACCATGTGATCATTCAATCGGTTCACTTTGAGCATTTCGGGAGGAAAATTGCCTAAACTACTAAAACTATCTAAGAATTGTATTTAAAAATATAAAATCTTACTGCATAAGAAAATTGCTTTCATACACATACATCCCTATACCCATTACTTCTTATCGTCTTAAACTATCAATCTGGATTTCTCACCATAGGCCACAAATAACCAAGTTGCGGCCTTATTTAAATCTATGCTCCTCATTATTGTGTTGCTGAGCATGCTTTTGGTCTTCAGGGAAATTTTCTATTGATTGTATCGAACGGGATGTTGTAGCTGTTATGGTCGATGACACATCCATAAAGCGATATTTCTTTTCATCTCGACACAGGAATGGATAACACATGATTCCATAGTAGAAGGCTAAGCAACTTATTATGACCACAAATATAATGGCAATTATGCCAAACGTTGAGAAGCCAGATTTCTTGTCTAAATATTCCTTCGGCGTGATGGCAGGAGCTTGTGTAGGCTGTTGCTGTTTTGGATTTTGGGAACCGTAGTAAGAGCGTCGAGAATTAGAAATGCCAGATCGTCCTCTGCCTACATTTCCCGCTTGGCAGTAGTAATTGAAACTCAAGGTAACTGAAACGACAAGTCACGTAGCAATTTTGGCCATTAAAAATCAACATTTGTTGCACATAAATCATTTTACATACTTATCAGCAAAATTATCACAACTTTCTTCATCATTTCTTTCTTGCGTTTTTTACTCTACTTAAATATTTATATATCCTTTGTTATTTAATTATAGTTCGTATACACTTTGCAAGGAATGAATGCAACTTGATTGATGTTATTTGTTGGTGTTTCCTTTTATGTTTCCCTTCTTGCTTCTTTTCTTTTTGTGTACTTGCAACATGCGTGCGTGTGTGTGCATTCACAAAAAATATCGAGAGTTGTATTTTTCCAAACATAAAACACAGTTGTATTTTGTAATCCGAAAGAATACATTTGACTAGAAATCGAAGCGAGCCGATTATTTCGACGTCGACAGTGGAGACTCATCAAGTATAAACTACTAATTGACACTGGAAAATTTGTGCCTGGAAGAAAATTAAAAATTAGCGCGCACTTGACAAATGTGCTTTTATAAGAAACTACTAACTATATTTGACATATGCTTAGGTATAGACCCTGGCTCAATAATAAAGTTTGTTTTACTTCAAAGAAACTAGGAAAAATGCAACTCTGTACTGGAGACGTATTGTATCAAATAGGCTTTTAAGCTTGCAACAATTAGTTTTGTTTATTTTACATTTTTTTCACAGAATTACTACTTTGGGGAAAACTCTCTAAAACGACTGGAATATTGGGATTTCTCCAATATAGAGGGACAATATTGTTTCATCCCAAAATTATATATCTTGTTGCACGATAAAGTAAAAAATAAATACGCATTTCAATTGCATCTAAATTTAGAATAATTTCAAATTATTTTTTTTACTTAAAACAGTACACACACAAACACATTGTACAATAAAATCAATGTAGAGGGCTATGATACCATATGGTTTAATTTTTTTATTTCCTTGGCTTAATATGTCAACTTTATTTGTTTATGTGTGTGTATTATATTCAATAATGAAAAAATTTCAGGAAATATTCAAATTCGGGTGTTTTTAAAATGCTTATTGCAACGTAATCTATAGTTTTTGTTGCGAAATAAACCTTTTGAGATATATAGAACATTATTTTGAAAAGAAATTTCAACCTTTCATTCAGTATTCGCGTTTTTTCAATTATTTATTCAAAATCAAAGCAACAAATTGTTTGGGGTTTTGATTGTTTTAATAGTAATTCTGACATTACAAGCGAAACAGGTACACCTCTATACTTGCAATTTTTTCAAAGTTAGCCTACCTTGTCTTCATTGGACCATGGTGCCATGGTACAATGATATCAAGGTAGGGCTATGATACCACATGATTCTAATTTTTTTATTTTCTCGGCCTAATACGTCATCTTTTTTGTTTATACGTGTGTTTTCTTTTCAATAACAAAAAAATTGTTCAGAAAACATTCAAATTCGGGTGTTTTCAAAATGTTCATTTTAACGCATGCATCGACAAAATCTAGAGTTTTTGTAGCGCAATAATCCTTTAGAGATATATAGTACTTGATTTTGAAAAGAAGTGTTGACCTTTCATTCAGTTATCGCGGTTTTCAATTATTTATTCAAAATAAAAAAATCAAACAACTTGTTGCATTTATTTTGAATAAATAATTTAAAATCGCGAAAACTGAATGAAAGGCCAACATTTCTTTTCAAAATCATGTCCTATATATCTCTTATGGTTTATTTCGCGACAAAAACTGGAGATTTTGTCGATGCATACGTCGCAATAAGCATTTTCAAAACACCCGAATTTGGATATTTTCTGAACAATCTCTTTATTATTGAAATGAATACACACACATAAACAAATGAAGTTGACATATTAAGCCAGAAAAATAAAAAAATTGAAATCATATGGTAGTTCTGCCCTACCTCGAATTCATTGTACCATGATTGTACCATGCATGGTGCATTCTATTGACAAACTTCGTAGGGACCTTTAAACGTTTGCTGTAAAAAGTTAGCGAAAAGTTGAATATTTTTTTGTCAATTTTATAAAATGTACGATTTTTTTAATTTGGCTTACAGTACGTTCATATATAAATGGGTTAACCCATGGTACAATGATATCAAGGTAGGGCAGAACTACCATATGATTTCAATTTTTTTATTTTCTTGGCCTAATACGTCATCTTTTTCTGTTTATGTATGTGTTTTCTTTTCAATAACAAAAAAATTGTTCAGAAAACATTCAAATTCGGGTGTTTTCAAAATGTTCATTTCAACGCATGCATCGACAAAATCTAGAGTTTTGTAGCGAAATAATCCTTTAGAGACATATAGTACATGATTTTGAAAAGAAGTGTTGACCTTTCATTCAGTTATCGCGGTTTTCAATTATTTATTCAAAATAAATGCAACAAGTTGTTTGATTTTTTATTGTTTTGATACTAATTCTGACATTACAAGCCAAACAGGTAGACCTCTATACTTGCAATTTTTTCAAAGTTGACCTACCTTCTCTTCATTGTACCATGGGTTAACCGACTGGATTTGGATTAAAATTGTCATATCCATTACTTATACTTCAAATAAATCCTCTCAAAGTAGGTTAACCCCACAAAAAGTTCTAACGTAAACATGGCATTATCATATTAAATTCAATCGTTTTTGCGAACAAAATAAAGAATTATTTTTACCATATAAAAGAAAGTTATGTTAGTTACTACGCTCCATGGTAGAATCAAGGAGGTAAACTCATGGAATGATATGTTTACAATTTTTTTCAAATATTATTCATTTGACAACATCTCATTGTCAAAATTTGTATTTATAAATCCATTGTACATACACAAATGGGAACCTGTTTTTATGTAGTAAAATGTGACAAGGTAATGCTAAGTTCACATTGCACGTGATTTGCTCTCTATTCCTTGTTCGACCATTAATTAAGAAATATCTACTTAATTCACCACACAAAATTTGCTGAGCGAACAAAGATTTTTGTTCTTTGTTCCATTGTACAATCCCTAACAAATGAGAGCATTTATCGAAAAAATAAATTATGACATTTAAAAATTCAAAATAGACAAATTTAATGAAATTTTACATAATTTTGGGAAGACTTAAAATTATGAATGAAAACTACAATGTTGAATGGCGTATGTACATTCAAACGAAAGTAAATTTTGTTTTCTCTGTCATCCGAGGTGGACATTTTGCCCACGAGTTGAAATTTCCACAGAAAGCTGGAAACAAAAGAGGCAATATTTTCAAAATTTTTGTATCGGCAGAAAAAATGTTTGACAACTCTCTCCAGCAGAATTTAAAAATAGAAAAATACAAAAATACTTTCAAAATGTCAACATTTACACAAAAAGTTGAAAACATGAATGAAAATGGTAAAGTTAATGATATAATAAATCTTTGGGCGAAAAACTTGATTGAAAGTGCAATGAGAACATAGCATAAGTTACAGATAATGCAGAGATGGGTATGCTTATTTGAAATGACTTTACCTTCTTAATTTTTTCCATGATACGCTCATAACTCAAGAACGGCTTGACGGATTTTTACAATTCATAAAATTTCGGAATGGTATCGTGGCAAAAAAAAATCGCGTGAAAATGTGTTAATAAAAATATGAATTTGACATACTATATTGAAGTGTACATTTTTTGTTTTGAATTCTGAAATAATTAAATGAAAAATGAAATGAGTGCGCAATGCCATATCGTGCTTCATCTGGAAGATGCGAACGCGTTTAAACAAAAATGGACCTACCTCTTTCATATGACAATAATCCATCCAATGACGAATCAAAATGCAAAATTCATTGGAAATGCATTCAGTGAAATACTGAATATATAGGGCGCAAAATAGTATGGCGAATTGGACATTTAGTAAGAAAATGAATTCTATCCTTCCAGAAATTGTTCCTAAACATTCAAGATACCTTAAATCGCATTTGCAGGTCATGATATGGGTCATATCATAAACTTTCCAGAAATTGTTCCTAAACATTCAACATACCTTAAATCGCATTTGCAGGTCATGATATGGGTCATAACCCCCGGATCCCTTATCTGGGATCCGATTTCAAGTATATTTTACCTTTTAACCATATTTCCACCCTAATTTCCGCAAATGTTTTTCATTTGAGAAGAAATCATTCTTGCAAAAAATGATTACGTTTTGGTATAACCATCATATGAATAAAGCTATTTTCGTGGTATTGGACATTTTTTTAATTTTTTGGTCTTTATTTGGCATCTTGGCTTCTAAGAGGGTAGGAAATTTCTTCAGATAAAATTTTCAATTTTTGAAATAGGACCCATCTTGGTCTTGACCACATTCATCATTTGATTTGGCTAAAAAAATTGTATTTAGGCTACCCTGGGGTAGAGAAGTATCGTACAGGTAATTGTCCACATAGGCATTTATTTAAGTATAGTCCCCACATTATGTGTACCCCCAAGTCCACTTTCCTAAAGGTACAAGTACTTAAAAAGCTTGAAGTCATGGGTAGTCACATTAATGTCAAATTATAATGGAAAACGACGGCAGGATTTTAGTGCGGCTCTGTAATCCCTTTATTAAATGTCACAAAATATGCCTAGCCATGACTTCAAGCTTCTTATGTACTTATTCCTTTACTAATGCTTGGTTAGAAAAGAAAAAAATTTATTTTATTAAATTTATAACTCCCAATATTGTAGAAGAATACAGGTAGTCGCATCGGCACAGCTGCTTGGACAATGAACTGTCAAACTAAATAGAAAAATATACCTATTTTAGAAAAAAAAAACATTTCAAAATATTTGACATACCAATGTTCCCAAGCGTTGATGCAACCATGGTAGAAAAATACAGGTAGATGCATCAACGCTTAGGAGCATTGATATGTCAAAAAAAATTAAATTTCTTTTCAAATATAAGTAAATTTTTATATGTTGTCTAATACGACGTCATTCGGAGGTTATTATAATATGGCTTTTTCAACAATTTTTACAAATTTAAATAATTTTTCATTCAACATTTTCAATTCCAAAATTGGTTTGACAGTTCATTGTCCCAGCAGCTGCGTCGATGCGTCTACCTATATTCTTCTACCATGGATTCAACTAACTATATTCTTTTACCATGACCCCCAAGAAAAAATTTTTGGGAACGTAGATTTGGGATTTACGTCCACATAAAATAAAAAATTGTGGCAGAAACATGCAAAAAATTACGAATATTAGAATATTAGTCATTATACTATGATGAAAAATATGGACTTTATGGGGTCTCCATGGTACATTGACATAAAGGTAACCTCATTTCAAATTCGCATTCCCAGCTCTGCATTTTCTGTAATTTACCTTTTCAAATTTTAATGCATAAAAAACAGTTCCCATTTCTGATTTTGTGTATATACAATGGATTTATGAATGGGTCCCCAACGCACAATTAAAATGGCAAAAAATTAATTCCCATCTTACGGTAATGGGTTTTAAAGGGGTTATTATCTTTGACTATTCTGAAATAATTCTGACCCCAATTATGTTGTGGACAAAACTAAATACCACGCAGCACGGTATTCTAAACGTTGGAAATTCAAATTCCAAATTACAGCTAAGCTCTTTGCAATATCAAAAATTGTGCTAAGTTTTCACATGGGGCTATTATAAATGTTCTATATCATATAGGTTTTTAACACTCAAATTTAAGCCTATGGCTGAAAAATAAGATCAGGCTATTCAAAATATTTAACACCGACGGTAATTTTTGACATGAATATATATTTATATTTACAAATTACTATGGAGCCATTCATTACTTATAATAAAAATGAAGCCGCTTATATAAGTGAGACTTGCAATTTATTATGCTTTAAAACATATGCATTAAAGACTAAAAGTACGGGCCGGCAATGCGGACCGGTCCAGCTAATTGATCAAAAAGGAATAATCGATTATTGAGTTAAAATTTTTATATCATTTTGCGCTTTAAAACATAGCAGATTTTTAAAAATGTTTAATTATTGTTTTGACGTGCAAAAGAACTATCTCTATGAAATTTTTAAAAATTAAAGGAATCGATAAACTAATGTTCAAAGTCAGTTAATCGATGAAGGCAATAAATCGATTACACGTTAGTCAATCTACATATCCCTAGTACCTCAAAAGCAAGCAAAAGATAAAGTATGAAAGAAAAAACGAGCGTCAAACGAAACGATACGACGATTACAAAAAGTTGATACGTTCTGTGTAAAGTTAAAACAAATTCAATAAAACTATAGTAGATTAAAAGAAAAATAACCAAAAAACAACATCATCATAAACTGTTTTATATGTACTGCATGGAATTTAGATGAAAACACCCAAATAAATATAGAAAACTTGTGAAAAAACCCCAGAAAGCCAACGCTCTGACAAAGCCCAACAACAGCACCAAGCAAGCAACGGGGAAAAATTTAAACGATTGCGAGAAGATAAAATTACTTTTAATTTAATAAAAGAAAAAACTTGAAAGTATGTGTAACTACGGCATCAAATAAGAAAAAAGAATTGCAAATAACGCAAAATTACAAAGAAATTCTCATATATCGAGTGTGTATGTGTACGCGAATCGTTTTTATTGAAAGTGTTAAATTTATACAACATAGCAAGCTCTAGCTTGCTGACTACAGTATAATAACAACAACGGCAACGAAGACAACGCGAAACAGAGACAGCAGAAACATTGTATGTCGGGACTTTCTTTTTGTTTGAACTAAGTTTTTGTTGTTGTTTTATATTATTTTTCTCATTATTCCTCTTCGCACTGTGCCCTCTACGAACCGAAATCAATGTATGCGGAGAGCGCTAGTGTGAGTTTCACAAGAAAATGTCACATTTGCCAGTGGATGCACGCGCCATTTTGCATTATTTAAATGAATTGGGCTTCCGAAATATATCGGCAGAACAACTGAAAGAATTCCTAAAAGGTAAAACATATTAAATAATATTAAATTTTGTAAAATTGCTAACGGTATAGAAGTGTTGAGAGAATGCAAGAGAGAGCCATAGTAGAGTAGAGAGAGAGAGTGTATGAAAGAAGTGTGTGAGAGTGAGAATGCGATATTAATTGTAAACAAAAACATTTTCGTTTATTATTATTTGTTTATTTCGTTTTGGCTTGAAAACGATTTAGTTAACCTCATTACTTTGATGAATATCGCCTTTGAATTGAAGTTTTATGAAACGAAACAAGTTTAAATGCTGCAACTTTTAAACACATCATCTTCCAGTCAAGCAAAAATACCACAATCGCTTGTGTTCTACCGAGTTTTTTCTTCCATCAATACAAAAATAAATGTTTGATACATAATGTACTTTCTGGCTGTATTCGTTAAATTGTTTCCATGTTTTTGAGACGACGACCACGACAACAACGACGAACAGCACAAAATACATTTAATTTTTGAACATTCGTTTGTTGGTTGCTGCAAAGTGAGCTCTTATGTGCTGTGCTGGGTTTGTTTGCCATAGTTGTGTTTTTGTCGGTAGGTCTGCCTGCCTGGCTGCCAGTCTGTCGGTCGGTTGATTGCTTTGTATAATATGCCGGCTGTATGTGTATTTTATTGTTTGTTTGTAGTGTGTAGTCAAGGTAGAGGAGGAGTTAACACACAACCAACCACACTGGGTTCGTAGTCACCACGCCAATTGCCACACATACATTATAAATGGTATTTTTCATGTTTTTAGCTTTGATAGTAGGAAAAAACAAGAGCATACAGGCCAGTGTTGTTTCGTCAGTCTGTTCGAGCCAACAAACGAACGAAAGAATCAACCGACAGACCGACCAACCATGTACTAAAAGCAACTAGATCCACAGACCGAATCAACCGTCCTAAAAAAATAACTAAAGCACACACAAAACATCATCACATATTTTACTTGCCTGGTTTTTTCATCCACATTCATCCACTGCATACAAGCAGCCTACCAAGCAAGCAACCTTATATAAAATGACAAAACGAACACACTTTTATTTTTTCGTATTTAAGTATTGTTTTCTCCCTGTACTTTTGTTTCCATTTTCACATTTTCTTCCCTGACAACGTCAACACACCAACAATTTACAAATCATACATGCATTTTTGTGTGTCGGCAATAATAATTTTAATTTGTATATTCGTCGTCTGCCTACTGTCGCTGGCAATTTGTTAATATTATTTTTATAATTGCATTTTTTATATTTTCTTTCCAATGACTTTTATCGCATTTTTCTGTTTTCTCTCCAATTATTTGTTTTCGTCAAATTTTTGCCATTATCACTGCTTTTATTTTGTTGTCGTTTGTTGTTTTTCATGTTTTCATTTTGACAGTGTGGTGACTTTGTTGTCTTCTCCTTTTTCTTGAGTTTTCGTTATTTCTTGATTTTACTTTACGCTGATTTCTTAGCGCGCAACCTGAATCTGATCAGTGATGCTAACACGACGTTATTCGTTACGGCGTTATACATTTACGAATGCGGTATGCTACTAAGATTTGGAAAACTATATACTTGGGAACGGGAAAAAATATGTGAAATTGTTTACAATGATTTGATTAATCTTGATATATCTGGCCCCGATAAGGAATAATCTGGATCCGACTGATCCATACCATCGTGACCATATAAAAAGCTTAAATGCCATGTGTTACCATTACTATAACATCATAAATCAATTTTACACATATTGACTTAAAAACAACTTTTTATTTATTTATTTTTTTTTTTTTTGTGAATAAACTTAAAAGGCTTTGTCTTTAAACATTTTCACTGAATTTCTATGAAAGCATGCATTGAAAAATATTTCCTTAAAATGTTTTTCATTTGAAATTTCTTTCATTTATAAAAGTTTTTATTTAACGTTTTCACAGAACAAGAGTTGAGTTCCATATTATTAAGTTTCTTTAATTGACAGCTTCTTCCACAAACAACGTTGTTTACAGTCAAAATACTTTCCATATGCCTCAAAATAAGCTTGCTCTATTTCTGTAAGCCTTTGAGTTTTTTTTAACGAATTCGATTTAGCGGAAAATTATTTCAGCAACATTAGCAACACCGTTCATAACAGACGGCACAGGGTTGCATTTTTGACGTACAATATAAGAAAATACGAAAGACAAAAGAAAAAAAAAACGAAAATAAAAGCAAACGATATTTTACTTAAAATGCAATAATCTACAATTTAAGATGACACAAACGAATATTCAGTTAGAAACAGCTATTAATGGTAAGCTAAAATTATATTTTCCACAAATCTTCTGATTTGCTATGAAAATTAAAATCTATTTCTGCCTCCTACAGATTAGCTCTCGAATATTGTTGTGCAAATGATAGGGACAAGGGACTACAATGTGCGTGTTTGCCTTGCCAATCCAAAGGGAAGATTTTCATTGCAATTTTCGCCATATTTCACATAAGAAACGTATTCAACTCCTAGCATGAGTCAAACCAGAAACCAAAATACATAGAAATAAGTCTTATAAAACATCTACACAAAATCAAATTGTGTGCTTTTGACGAACGCATATTCTGCTGTGCATTGTCGCTGTGATGTTGTTCTTTAGACTATTTTCTTCTTTATTATTACTTTTTTTTGTTCACTTGCCAGCCATATGAACATACGAAGAAAAATGCCTACGTATTTATGTACATAAAAATAACATCTTTAGGAGAAACAAAAAAACGTGATGTGAGCTGGCAGGGAAAAGAAGTCATTCCCGCTGCAGAGGAATCGTGTTTGCTTTTTTTGTGTAATCTCAACCATATACAATGTTTTGGGCATACATTGTCCACTATCGTTTTCTACGTAGTTCATAGTTCTGTAACTTTGCAAATAACAAATTTGTTTTGCTACTAAACTGGCTGGAGCAATAGGTATGCAATAGGCATATATCTAAAATGGTTGGTGTTCGTTAGTCTATTATGGAGATAATTTCATGTCTATCATCTATGAAAATCAATTTCATGTAATAACTAACTAATGTTCAGAATGGAAAATGTTTACAAAATGAGTTTTAAATTTGTTATAGGTATGTAGTAAATTGAGGTCACTGTAATCGAATTTAAAGAGTCGATCAAATTTTCGGTTTAAACTAATTTCAAATTTAGGTTCAATTTGTATGTAACAACCCTTTTGATTGAATTCTAATTTTTGAATAAGTTATTACATTTAAATTCGAAGATAAACATTCTTTTAGAGGATTTAAATAAGCTTCTTTATGCGATATATTGGTACATGGGATACATGCCTCAATTGGCCCGTTCCATAACAGTAAGGGTGTAATATTTTTACTACCAAGCCGATTTTCCCTTTATGATATCAAAAACAATTGCCAAACTAGTAGATTCTTGCAGGTTCTGGAAAAGAGCCTGAGGGTAAATATAGATTATAGGTTGGGTTGTTTTAAGGATATACATCTACATGAGATTCCACAACTGCTTAACTCAGAGTCCTTTGGCCCAAGGAAGAAATTAAATTGTTGGGGATATATAGAAACGAGAAAGAGAAGAAGAAAGCACCTCTATAAGTATATTTACCAGGGTGGTCTGCCTAGCCAGGGAATGCTGTTGGTAAACAGTTTCTACCTCCCAATTGCTATATTTCTTGTCTTTACTTTCTGTCAAATAGCTATGTTTCTTGTCTTTACTTTCTGTCAAATAGCTATATTTCTTTATGGGTAACATGAGACATTTGTATTGTATGCAGGGTGAGATAAGAAAACTGCAACAAAGTCAAACGCCATTACTTGTAATTTTTTTTTTAAATTTTTATTGAATGAAAGCATAACAATGTCGGAAATAGCATCACATTTTAGAATTTAGATTTGATTTGTTCGAATTGGTCACCTTTGGCACGAATTATGGTCTTCAAACGGCCCCTGAAACCGTCACACGCTGCTCGAATGTTGCTCTGTGGTATTTTGGCCCATTCCCGGCGAAGCGCTTGCTTGAGGTGATCGACACTTTGGTATTTTTTAGAGCCAACCTTGCTTTCCAAAATACTCCAGACACAATAGTCCAACGGATTGGTATCCAGAGATTTTGGTAGCCATTGTGTGGTGGAAATGAAATGAGAAACCTCATTTTGTAACAATTCTTGGGTGTCGCGTGCTGAGTGCGATGGTGCTGAGTCCTGTTGGAATGTCCACGGTCTGCGGACAAAATGTTTGCCTGCTCAAGGCTTTAATACACCCTCCAGAATATTTTTGCGATAATATTCGGCATTTATTTTGATGCCACGGTCGATTAATACGGGCCAGCCATGTTTCCCCCTTATCCTCTTTACTAACACATTTCATAAAATCAATTGTACTATTTATTTTATATAATGGAAAATAACATATATACATATTATATGTATACAGGTAAATGTTTGGAAAATTCAAATATGTACATATATACTATTTGATGCCCACACGTTATACATATGTTGAATTGCTAGTTATGTATTTTTAATAATACACATACTTACATATGCATTATTTGTATTTACAAGAATAACTTTGGTTTGAAGAGTATATTCCACCTCCCTATTGCTAAATTAAGCATAGCTTCATTGTATATAAAATTATTGTGTATATACAAATTAAGATTTGTATTTCATAGATATGATATGTCATTTTATAATTTAACATGGAAACAAGAAGAGAAAATTTCCGAGCCAATACTATGCACCTGACTTTAGGTGTTGAGTTTTGTGGTGACATCCGCTACATCTCCAAAAAGCTATAAAACATAAATGGTTATAAAACAAAACCAACAACAATCATTTTTCAAAAATTTAATATATTTAATTGGATTCCATTGTATAACAAGAATTAATTTAATTTGTATACCCTCCGCCTTGAAAAGGAGGGTATATTAACTTTGTTATTCCGTTTGCAGCACCCCTAAATATTCGTCGTAGACCCCATAAAGTATATATATTCCTAATCAGCATAAAATTCTAAGTCGATTTAACGATGTCCTTCGGTCTGTCTGTTGAAATCACGATACAGTCCCCATTATTTGACATAGAGCTTCAAAATTTGGCAGAACAATTTGTATTTTATCTAGGATGGTTGGTATTGAAAATGAGATACATCGGTCTACGTTTTGATATAGCCACCATATAACGGTACCTCCCAATATTCGGTATTTGGATGATTTTCGCCACATTTTTTCACGGATTTGTCTAAAAATTGGTATTTGTAGTTCATATTGGGTTCTAGCCGGAGCATTTTATGCATAGATCTACGTTCTTGTATAGCCCCTATATAACGGAACTTCCCGATATTCGGTATTTTGATGAATTTTCCAACATTTTTTTCTATGGATTTGTCTAAAAAATGGTGTTTATAGATCATAAACGGCTCTTGCTCCGGTAGCACAACATTGTATGTATAGGTCCCCGTTTTTGTATAACCCCCATATAACGATATTCCGTATTTTGAGTATTTTTGCCACTTTTTCCAGGGATTTGTCAAAAATTGGTATTTGCAGTTCATAGTGGGTTATAGTTTCGATGGCAGAACATTTAATATTTAGGTCCACGTTTTCCTAAAGCGCACATATAACGATACCACCGATATTCGGTATTTTGATAATCCTAGTCACATTTGCCCACGAAATTGTTTCAAATTTGATATTAAGGAAGATTTGGTAGATGACAATCCTTAAAGTATAATATGACCTATATAGGTTCCCGATTTGGTATGGCATCTATATAACGGTCTCACTTAATTTATGTTTTTTTTTGAAAAGTTTAACGGTATTATAACACGTTTGAATTCAGGTATTTTATATAAAAATGTTTCCTTTATCCAAAGGTGGGTGTTAAAAGTTTCGCCCATTTGTCTTCAGTTGAGATTCCATAGGTATAAATAAATTTGCTCATCTACATTTTTGTAATAATCGAAGACAGATCGATATCATCATCACTACAATTACAACACTGATATACACATGCAGAGTTGTATTTTATTGTGCAATATATCCTGATGGTCCTTTCCATCTCAGTGTGTGTGTGTGTGTGTTTGTTTCCCACTGCTGAACGTTTATGCATGTGTGTATGCGTGCCTGTGTGATCACGGGGGATGATGTGTGATTGTTGTCATTTTTTTTGTACATCTGGCTTGTCAGATTTCTATTTACTTTGGTCGTTTTTAGTTTGGCTTAGACGTTTTTCGATTTCGTTTTGGTTTATTGTTTTTTTCTGTTCGGATAGTGTTAAAAAAGGTTTCTATAGAGTTTTGGCGGTCTTTTTTTTAAATTTTACATAAAAATGATTTCATTTACCTACCTTGTATTGAACAAAAATTAATTAAAATTGTTTTTCTCCAAACTTTTCTCTTTTTTCGTTTCAAAAAAATCTCGCAACACTGTGTTCCACTGCAAAATGAAAAACAACTTCAAACGACAACAAACAAAAAATTTCTCCGCTCATCTCGACCCAACGAAAAAATTTCGAAATTGTAACATTAGCCATATTGGGCCTAAAGGTATGCAACCACAATCGGAAATCATCAAAAAAAGCAAACTTAAAACACAGCAACAGCGGCAAAGTACTTTTCAGCAATTGCCAACAACGCCAACAACAAGGAACCTCCCGACAGGCTCTGCAGCAGCAACAGCTTCGCCAGGAGCATCACCAGCAGGTGCTACGGTATCCGATATACACAAACAACGTACTCCTGTCAAAGTAATCAAATGCAAGAAACCCCTTTGCCATTTTAAATTCTATTTGGATATATGTGATCATCAGCTAACGAAACGTATTGAGGAACAAATCAGACTATTGGGTGGTTCATTGGAGTTCTTCTTAACACCCAGTGTTACACATTTTGTAACCGACAAGCCAGTTGTTGCCGCCGCCGGGGTTGTTAATAGTAATAACACCAGCTGTCCAGGTACTCCACAAACACCTCAGACACCGCAAACGCCGCAGACTCCATACTCAATAGAAAATTTTGAAAGCTCTAGAGTAGCAAATAATGGCAGTACATCAGTCATATCCAAGAAACCAATACGAAATTCTAGAGCCGATGCCATATTAAACCGTGCCAGACGTCTAAGTACTGCCGCAACAACAACACCCACTACAACTGGCTGCATTACCCGAAGAGCGTCGACCGTTGATCAACTACCACAAGCAGCCGCCGTAATTGCAACAACACCTTTAAAGTCCAGAGATAATGTCGGACCACCCCCACCCTATGTTGTATGGCAGTGTGAGAATGCTTTAAGATTTTTCAAAAAAGTCCAACACGAGCTCAAGGATTATTTGGGAGATTCAGCCAAGGGATCCCAAAAGTCGTACACAGTCGAACCAATTAGTCTAAAAGGTGGTTTTATAAAAATCGAAGCCCTCAAACGCAATTATCGCCCCTATTACCATCTTTTCAAAAAGCCAGCAAGTGAGTGGCCTAAAATAGAATTGACACGTGAAGACGGGGCTTTTCGACTGTCGCCCAAGAAGGATATCCCAAAGGAGGAGGATAAACTGAACGACGGTGGTGAGACAAATCAACAAAAAGATAACAACATGACTCGCAAATCAAGATCTAGATCGGCCCAAAACATTAGAAAACCTCAAGATAATGAACTTCTCAAATCGCCCGCGAATTCACAGAAAAACAACGTTTGTAAAAATCAGGCTCAAGCACCCAAGGACTCGTCCGACAAGCAATGTGGTGTATGTGAAATATGTAAAATTGAATATGATGCTTTAACCATCCACCTGAAGACCAAGGATCATGAATATTTTGCCAAAAATTCGCAGAATTTTATAGCCTTGGATTCGCTGATAACATCCTCGGCGGATGTCAATAAATTCTTAAGTGAAAATCGTAAATTAGATTCTAAAGCTGAGTTGGAAGAAATGGAAGTAGACCAAGAAGAGCTAGTCGGTCATGAAGTAGATCCTCTGGAGGATGATGAAGCAGTCGACGAAGCAGTCGATGAAGATACTTGTTCCTTGAATAAGCCATCAAAGACCAAAACCGCTTCACCAACACTGCGCGAAAAGTCTAAAAGGTCTACCAAGGGAAAACATTCCTCTGAAAAATTTAAGAATGCAATCATCACCACCAAATCACCAAAGACACCTAGTCCACAGAAGACGGCACCACCACCATTACCACCTTTGGTTGTGAAGACGCCAGTTACAGGTCGCAAAAAACACTCTGGATCGGCGTCAAATGCTGTTTTGTCGCCACCAATACGTGCCATGTTGCCACCAAATTCCCTCTACAAAGTCGTGGAAACGCATACAACTGATGTGCAGTGTACACCAACTAAAAATAGAGTGGGTGTCGACAATTCTGTAACTGCATCACCGTCCATTATTGTGAAGTTTAAAAAGGTGCGCAATACCGAACTGCAGGTTTTGAATGGTGAGGCGGAGAACTTTATGTTTCCCAAGAAGCGAAGCGACTCAAGTGAATTGCCCACTGATATCGATAGGCACACAAGTTCGGAAAGGGCCCAAAACACGGCATCGATTTGCACATCCTCATCCTCGGGCACTCCATCGGAGGCGACACCATCATCCGAATCCGAAGACGAGAATGAGGAATACTTTGAAGAATGCCCAAAAAAGGCCATAGTTAATGGTCAGAAGGCCATAGCGAGGGCCACGAGAAAACTGTCTGCCCAAACAACGGGAAAACGTAATGTAATTATAACACCTGTAAATACCCAGGAAGAGGGCAGACAAACCTATGTGAAAACTCCCATACCAACAAAGGGGCTAAAAACTAGTTCTACTACCAACCTCACCACCTCCTCCAAAGGTGAGGGAGGTAGGCAGAGCTTTCCGAAAGCCCCCATCCAGCCACTTGAACAACTGAAAAAGAACACAGCCCAAAGCGGTGGACGTAGAAATTCGGCGGCAGCACCAAGTTCTGCTGAAATTTTAGCGGAGACAGCTAAAATAATAATTCCTGAAGCAACACGCAAAAGTTCCCGAACCGCAACGGCAATAGTTACGGCAGCTACAACCAGCACGCGTATTATGCAGGCCGCTGTGGATGCAGCAAAAAACAAGTGTAAGCAACAACAATCAGGTGCAATAGTAACAGCGGCATCATCCAACGGCACAACAGCTAAAGCCAAAGTCGGTAGGCCTCCCTCCCTAGCCACAAAGAGAGCTCAGGCAAGAGATGAGCAAAAAAGTGAAAGGCAAGAAGAGGAGGAGGAGGCAAAAACGCCAAAAGAAAATAAACCAAAGTCTGAAATTGCGGAATTAGGAACTAGAAGATTGCGCTATAGTCACCGTCAATCAGTTGTTTTTAATCTGGAGGATAGGATGGGGGAGAATACAAAAACCAACAAATCTATAAAGTCGAATAATAATATTGAAGCGATCGCTTTGCCAACTACAAATAACACTAACACATGCGAAAAGAGGTTGCGCGCTGGAACTGCCATAGTGTATAAGAATGAAATTCTTGATGAGGAGGACTACGACGATGATGTCTCCGTGGATAATGACGATGAAAATGACGAGGATTTTAAGGTGACAGAAAGCAAAGCTAAAACATCGCCCAAGAAGTCAGCTAATATTACAACACCAGCTCAAACAAATCCACAAGCGCAATCAATAAATAAGTTGACAGAAACGACGGTCACCAAGTGCGTCGCTACAACAAGGCAAAGAAGAACACGTTTTGGTGGAGCCGTCGTTAAAGTGGAAGTTACTTCGGATGTTGAAAAAGAACAAGAAGAAGCTGTTGAGCAAACACATGATCTTCCGAAGGTCCAGACGAGAGCAAAAGCTGGCGATAAAGATGTGATAGAAAAGAGGAAATTAGAAACTCAACCATCAGTACCACTACCTGCTGCACCACCATCATCTCCACCGAAGAAATCTCTGAGAAAGTCGGCCCTAACAGCCAAAGAGGAAAAGTCTGCCCAACCAGCTGACAAGAAACAAGAGCAGCAGCATACATCACCCAAATCCTCCTCGCCACCTAAAAAGGAGCCGTCTTCTCCTTCTAGGTTCTTCGATTTTACCAAGAGCGAACGTCTCAAGCAACTGCGATATGCCTTCGAACGTTTACCCGAGTATGATTTATGGTATCGTGTATACAAACGACAAGATAACTGTCAAGAAAAGTACTTTGAGTATTATGGTTCCACAACGTATCGAAAATTGCCCTATGAATTGGGACCGGTGCCCTTTGAAATGTCCCTACAAGGCGCAATGGGAACGAAAGTGTGTTGCAAACTTTGTCAGAATAAAGATATGAACCAACAAGAGACTGATGGCAAGCAGGCCGTAGCTGTAGCATCATCATCATCTAGGGCTGGCAATAAAGATTTACAAACGAAATGCGAAAACCTAATAAAGCAAGAGGAGGATACGCAGCATTGTGGGACATCTTCCAACTCAGGACTCCCCCCTGCTACACCACAGCAGCAAGAACATTCCAAACTTTCAATATCCACCACCGATTCCAATGCAACCGCAACACCATATACGCACAAACACAAGAAACTGCACTTGCTTCAACGTTATCGCCAAGAACAGGAGCAGCAGGAAAAGCTGCAGCGTCAAAAACTAGAAGAACAGGTACAAAGTAGCAATGCTCATCGCTTATCTGCAGCAGCGGCGGCGGATGGTGACAGTATAAAAGTGGAAACAAAACACGAAGATGGTACCCGCAGTAGACACGAGCGTGCTGGCTCTACCCACAGCAATGCCAGCAGTTGTGCAAGTAGTACGGCCACTTTTGGTAAATCTCGACGGATGCATAAGAAACTTCTTAATAAGGCAGCGTTCATGGCCCATTTGGAGCTACCACCACGGAAGTCACCCCGCGAGCATGCTTCCACCCTGGCATTAGTAAGTTGTATTATAAAACAGAGAAAGGACTCGGTGAGTAAGTCAAACTCTGAGTGTGATGAGCCAAAAACACCAACAGAGGACTCTAGGCCGCTTCCGGCTATTCCAACTGTCCAGGAGCTTGCTGAAAAAGAAGTAAATCTACAAAAAGTTGCGCAGCGTTTGAAAACTCCACCACCTGGTGTCAAAACACCTGCCAGACAATCACCCCTGCCACAAAGCACGGTTGTGAATTCGCCCAGAACCCGTTCACAGGCGGCCACACCCGTGGAGGAGCTACGCTTTGCTACCGAAATATCGGAAAATGTAAAGCGTATGCGAAGGGGTCGAAACAAGTATGATTATTCACCGCCTTTTGTTGCTCGAGTGGCAAGTGCTACTGCTCGTTCCTCTAGAGGTCGAGCTGCTGCCAATAATGTTGCTATGAACCTATTCGGTAGGTATTCAACGGGAAATTCTTCGTTGTCGATACAGCAAAGATCAAGAACGCCGAATGCCTCGAATAAAACTCGTGAATCTCTGGGTGCTAGTGGTAGCGGAGGCATTCTTAAACGAGGCAGGGGTCGGCAGAGATTAGTGGGTGTTCCCCGAAATTCGTTAACTGCCAAAAACAACAAAAATATTCTACCAGCCATTCGCAAGACAGGCTCCAAAAAGGGTGTCTTAGAATTTGAAGCAGACTCCTCAGCATTGGAAGCCTTAAAGAAGATTACCACAGAATACAAGAGTCCTCGATTTCTGGAATGGCAAATAGATAAGTTTTTGACATTAACACCACCCAGCGGCTTAGACGTGGACAATGATCTGTTTGAGTTGAATGGTTCGACCCTGGAACCGAGTGTAAGCCATCAGTCCTCACAGCTAACAACCCGCCAAGAACAAGATATGCCTACTGCCTCCTCATCAAGTATTCTTAACACTCCGCCATCTACCGATTACTTTTCCAGTGATTTCGATCTCTGTGATTTGATAAATCAAGACCTGGAAAATGGTCAAAAAGACGCTGACGATGGCCGAGCTGGTCAAGATGCTAAAGCGAAAAAGTTTAGCATATTTAATACGTCACATATGTTGGGCTATTATCGTAAACGAAAAAATCTCAAAACCAATCGAACGGGATGGCCCAAAGTTTGTCGAAAGAAGACAGTTACCCGCCAACAATCTCAAAGTAATAAAATATATTTCTTGGAAAATGGTCTGGGGAAACAAGAAAGTTCACAAGTGGTGGAGAATAAAAAGGTACACATTAAGCAGGAACAGTTAGATGTGCAGGATGAAGAAAAGTTAGTGGACGATGATGAGGAAACTACGCAAGAAAAAACAAGAAACGATGGTGTTATTACACCACCCGATTCTGATGTTGAGATGGGCGAAAATGGAAAATGTGTGGCAGAAGATGATGAAACAATGAACATCATGGCAGATGAGGAGGAGGATTCTCAACTGGGATTGAATGAAGATTCACAGACGGCTAACGATGAAGAAGACGATGATGATGAGGAAGAGGATAATGATACTATGGCCGATTCCATTGAAGAAGATACCGTCAATGTACCACAAAAAGTGACAGCAGAATCTGAGGTCGAATTGGAGGAGGGAGATAACGAAAACGATGAGGAGGAGGAGGATGAGGAGGAAGAAGAGGAAGACGATGATAAAGAACGCGAAGAAGATGATGATGAGGATGCTCCCGATGTTGAATGCAAGAAAATCCTAAAGAAATCGAAACGTTCCACATCGAAAACATTTCTCACACAAGACGATGAAGATTCCTATGAACCTCAAGATAAACGATTGCGTTGTTTAGCTGATGACGCCGCCACATTAAGTCCTGTGGACAAGTCTCGCCCGAATGTGGCAACAACATCAACACCCTGCACCCCGTTTATGCGTGCTATGCGGCGCACACCTCAATTGAATGGCAGTCTTGGTAGCTGTATTAGTCCCAGCGAAAAGGCTGGTGATAATTCGGATATTTTCACTGTTTCGTCAGATGGCCTGGACACCGATCTCGATCTTAGCAATTCCCATTCTCAGCTAAGAAATGCCGGTGACGATGAAATGCATCCTAATCACCACCACCATCATCATCATCCTAATTTACAGCAACACCATCAGCATGATCATTCGAGCAATACAACACTGAATAGTAGTGCCGCAACGACAACGCCAAAACGAAAATTTGATATATCCAAATATGCTCCCACCAATGCCGCATCGTGTGCAGCTGAAGCGGCGACAGCAGCCGTCAAATCTTTGGCAATTTCACAGTTTCTAAAGAAGGAGGTACGAGTGACATGCCGACGTTTGAGGGCACCGTTTAGAAGATTTCGTTATCGCAGATAGGGACAGGGTTATATTTTAATACCCATTTTTGACTGAACACCATCATCGATCGACAACAGCGGTAACATTGTCATCAGTAATAGAAGCCATGCAACAAGGGTGTGATGTGAAATTTTGAGGACTTGATGAGGAAGTTGTGGTATTTTTGTCAATAGATAAAGGGTTTATTATTACATACCGAAGATTTCGAGATTTGGGTTCACAAATTTTCCTCAAATCGTTTCGCAAAATGGATTGCAAATGGAATTTTATTATTTCATTTGGTTTTCATGAAGAGTAGCGATTTAGGAATCTAAAGGAATATTAATCTGGTGACAGCAACAGAAAATTTTATGAAAGAAAATAAATGAGTTTTTGGACATTTTGGAAGATTTGGATTTTGTCTTCTTTTCCCCAAAAAAATCAGATTTTATTTCAGACAATTTCCTGTGTGTGAAGAAAGAAAATCTTTCGAATAAAATTACATTTTGCAGTAATATATCATTGAACCCATAACCTGAAACCTAAGGTCTTATGAAAAAATCTCTTTTTTTTATTAAAATATCAAACTCCTCGGAAAGAACTTTATATTTCCCTATGCAAAAAAATACACACACATCAGAACACAATGTTGTATTCGTATAAAAAAAGTTTGAAAAAAACAACATATATTACCTTTTGTAATTTATATACATATAAATGGTATTAAGATACGCCTAGGATAAATTATTGTAAAAAGCTACAAATTAGCAATATATATGCCAACGCAAAGTATACTAATAAGATTTTTGTCTAAAATTTGTTTACAAAAATCATTTGGGATTTTTAAAACCCTTTTGTTTGATAATTTGTTGTTTTCGTTTACTGTATTTCTTTATTTTTTTTTAATTTTTGTGCGTTATCCGTTCCATTTGTCGAAAAAAAAAAACAACAACCAACCAAACGAAAAAAACTGAAATAACTGTTCCATTAACAATAAAATGAATAAACATCAATACATACAACATAACGCTTATACCATAATCCATGTACTTTGCTCTTTGTAATTCAATTTGTTTAGTTCAAAATAGATCACCAGAAACAAAATTTATTGTAATACAATTCTATAAATATATAAATACATACATAAATATAGTTAAATAACATGTAGGCTTTTAGTATTTAGTTTAAAATAAATAAAACAAATGATAATTTAAAATAAATGCAAATGAAACATACATAGTAAATGGTCATTATCAAAATATATTTGTTACTATTAATTTATACAATATATACTGATTTTTTTTACAATAAATTCCTATTAAACATATATATGCATTATAGAACACATTTAAATCATGAAGTGAAATGTTGAGGATTTGAAGAAGTCGAAGAAAAATAGGGTTTTTTTTTATTAGGTTTTATCCATTTCTAATCCACACTTCATTTAAATTTACGTTTACATGACTGTACATTTTAATCGTCGAGTTTGGGGACTGAGTTTCACGTTAAACATATTTCCATGAAATATTATCTTCTGATTTGTCTGAATCTTGTTTTTTTTTTGTGGTCTCGAATTGGGTTTCTGAATGATAATAGGGCCAAATTCTCGCATTTGATATCGGTATTAATGTTCTCTTCCTCGTCAGACAAGCTTGAGGAATAAGTTTTGCGTTGAACATATTTCCATGAAATGTTATCTGCTGTTTTGTCTGAATCTTGTTTTTTTGGTCTCGAATTGGGGTTTGAATGATACTTGGTCCAAATTCTCGCATTTGATATCGAACACATGGTATTAATGTTGTGTCAGAGCATTATCGCCTCCCAGGCTTACTGTCCGTTTCGTCCTACTGCTGGTAGCAAACGATCCTGAATAACTGTCCGAGTCAGTCTAAGGATTATTGGCTTGCGGGTATTTAAGCCGAGACATTCTCCCTAGACCCGCTCACTGTCCGCGAATGCTACCCAGTATACATGGTGAGATAAAAAAACTGCAACAAAGTCAAACGCCATAATTTTTACTTTTTTTTTTAATTTTATTGAATAAAAGCAACAAATGTCGGAAATAGCATCAAATTTTAGAATAAGTTTAGATTTGTTCGAATTGGTCACCTTTGGCACGAATTATGGCCTTCAATGAAACCGTCAAACGCTGCCCGAATGTTGCTTTGCGGTATTTTGACTCATTCCCGAAGCGAAGCGCTTGCTTGAGGAGATCGACATTTTGGTATTTTTCAGTGGCAACTTTGCTTTCCAAAATACTCCAGACACAATAGTCCAACGGATTGGTATCCGGAGATTTTGGTGGCCATTGTGCGCTGGAAATAAAGCGAGGAACCTGATTTTGTAACCATTCTTGTGCGGCTCATGCTGAGTGCGATGGTGCTAAGCCCTGTTGGAAAGTCCAAGGTCTGCGGCCAAAATGTTTGCGTGCCCAAGGCTTTAAACCACCCTCCAGAATATTTTCGCCATAATTTTCGGCGTTTATTCTGATGCGACCATCGACTGTTATGGCCAATCCCACGGCAGCGGGTTCTACGATACCGGATTGACCCGAAACAACAAGATTCCAGTTTCGGCCAGCGGCTGCCAACCCAGTATGTACATGTTTGTGTTTGTTTATTTTTCTGCATTGGGAGCAGCATATCCCGGAATGCTTGCTCCGGATTTTATTGGTCCGTGCCGGGATTGAGGAAAACCCCGGACCTTGGTTCTGCTCGGTTTGTCAGAACGTCATCCACCACAGATCTGTCTCGGTGCGATGTAATGGATGCAGAGAGTGGGTGCACTTCAAGAACTGTTCCGGATTAAGGCGTTTGCGAGACTACAGCGAAAGGGACTATGTTGCGACTTGCTGCAGTAACGTAGTCCCCAGCGAGTCCTCTTCTTCGTCGTCCTCGTCAGAGACGTCGTCGGAGTATGGCACTCCACCGCAGTCTCCAGAACAGCAACCAACACCGCAGCACCTAACGCCACATGTTGCTGTTCCAACTCCGGATTGTGCATCATTCTTGCAATTCAATTGCAACGGACTTCGAGGCAAAATAGATGAGATAGTGGAATTTATGAGTCGGAGGAATATTAAGATCGCAGCGGTGCAGGAAACCAAGCTGAATGAAAATTGAAGCCTACAACGTTGTTATGGTTACAATGTACTAAGGAAGGATCGCACCAGAAGTGGAGGTGGGGGATTAGCGTTCCTGTTACACCATTCTGTTCAGTACAGACCTATCTCGCTTGAGCTAGTCTCTAGTGACCCATACATGGAATGTATGGGAGTAGCAGTCAAGTGTGGAACTGCCGAGGTAGAGGTGCTTAATGTGTATATCCCGCCGATTAATAGCTGTGAACCACGTTATTTGCCTGATATTAGCCCATTATTGGTAGGCAATAACCGCCTGGTACTAGGGGATTTTAATGCCCACCATGAGTTGTGGCATTCCGTCCTAGGTAATGACCAGAGGGGATCAGCGCTGGCGGAGCAGATTGACTGCTCCACATTCTGCACGGTTAACGAGGATGCCCCCACCAGAATAAGAGGAGAGTGTCACAGTTCGCCAGATTTAACCATAGTGTCACCCGGTCTGATAAATGACGTGACTTGGCAACCCGTCATTTCTCTTGGCTCAGACCATCTCCCGATAATCGTCTCCATAAGCAGGTCGCCCGATTTCATAACCTCTGAACGCCGCACTTTCCTTAACCATGGGAAAGCTCACTGGCCAGAGTTCAGAGAATTCACCAACCGCCGCTTCAGAGAACTGCCCAACCCTTCTGATGTTCGGGTAGCAGAAAGGATTTTCCGAAACATCATCAGAGCTGCAGCCGCTCGCTATATACCTGCTGGTCGAATACCCGAGATAAGACCAAACTTCCCAGCAGAGGCAGCGGGATTAGCAAACGAGCGTGATGATCTCCGTCGTACCAACCCTACTGATCCTAGAATCAGTGATTTGACAGTGGAAGTCAACCGGTTGGTACAGGAGCATAAGAGGAAAAAGTGGCTAGACCATCTGAAGTGCTGCAACATTGGAACCGATATGAGTAAGCTGTGGGTAACGGTTAAGTCGCTCTCGAACCCTGGAAAAAAGGATGATAGGACCTCAGTCACTTTTAACGACGTAACGGTGACTGATCCGAAGAGGTGCGCGGAATATTTTAACCGACAATTTGTCGAGCACCCCGAGAGTGATAGGGCGAAGAGTACTACGTCGTATCAGATCTCTTCCCGCCGAGGAGGAACCACCACAGTTTACGATGGGTGATGTTGCAAATGTCATCCGTAACGCTAAGTCATCCAAAGCGTTGGGCCCGGACGGAATCTCAATGGTAATGTTGAAGCAGCTGGATACGCCGGGAGTCGAGTACTTAACAAAAGTTCTCAATTTGTCGCTAGCCACCCACATAGTGCCCGAAACCTGGAAAATGGGCCGGGTGGTCCCGCTACTGAAGCCAGGCAAGGATGCCAGTAAAGGCGAATCGTACAGGCCGATTTCGCTTTTGTCGCCAGTAGCAAAGACTCTTGAGGCTTTACTCCTCCCCAGCATTAGAGGAAGCTATGCAGTTGCCAACCACCAGCATGGATTCCGTCCACAACATAGTACCACAACAGCATTACACGCCATTTCCACACATATTAGTAGAGGACTAAACCAGAACAGGCCGTGTGACAGAACAGTGTTGGTAGCCCTTGACCTATCAAAGGCATTTGATACGGTCAATCATGCCACACTGTTTGAGGACGTACAGAGAACTACCCTCCGGCCAAGTTTGAAACGTTGGATAATCAACTATATGTGTGGACGCCAGTCGTACGTGGAATTCCGGAACAAGAAGTCCAAAGCCCGTAGAGTGAAACAGGGAGTTCCCCAAGGTGGGGTGATATCTCCGGAACTGTTTAACCTCTACCTTTCCGGAATTCCTCGCCCTCCAGACGGCATTGAGATCGTAACGTATGCGGATGATTGTACGATCATGGCGTCGGGTCCAGTGGTCGATGACATATGCGAAAGGTTGAACCCCTATCTCGCGGAGCTTGCCGCATACTTCCACGCGAGGAATATGAAAATATCCGCCACGAAATCAACGGCCACACTCTTTACCACATGGTCTGCGGAGATGAGAACACAGCTGAATGTTCAGGTCGAGGGGAATTTAATACCGACCACGAACTACCCCAAGATTCTTGGGGTAACGTTCGACAGCATGTTCAAGTCGTCCGCGCAAGCCACAGCTATCTGCGACAAGATGAAAAGTAGGAACAAGGTCCTCAAGGCGCTAGCCGGCAGCTCTTGGGGTGCGGACAAAGAAACCTTGTTGACCTCTTATAACGCGATAGGTCGGTCTGTGGTCAACTATGCGGCTCCAGTGTGGTCTGCGAATACTAGTGCTACGCAGTGGAAGAATATCCAGACCTGCCAGAACGCTGCCCTGAGAACTGCGACAGGGTGCCTCCTCATGACACCAGTGGACCATCTACATGAGGAGGCGAAAGTCCTTCCCTTACGTCAGCATAATCATATGCTTTCGTTGCAGTACCTGCTTGGGTGTTACCGTGAGAGCCATCCCAACCATCACATGGTGGATAACTCTCCCCCACCCAGGCGTGTCAGGAAGGACATACATGATCTAGAGAGGGAGGTCCAGCGCTACAAGAGAGAGCCTCTAGATCAAGAAGCCTATCAGGCAGGTCTGAGTGGCATTCACACCGATACAGTCGCGGATGCTATTAGCAGTTACAAAGTGAATGCCGTCCTCGGAGTCCACCCCCCATCCATTGCAGCCGAAGAACGTCAGCTGCCTAGACAAACCAGGGTAGTTTTGGCGCAATTACGTTCAGGATGGTGTAGTCGCCTCAATTCGTATTGGGCACGAATTGATGAAGATGTGCGTGACGCCTGCCCGGCGTGTGATACAGGCCCGCACAATACGCTACACCTTTTTAATTGCTCAGCCAAACCTACCCAACTCACTCCAGAGGATCTCTGGCTACAGCCCGTTAAAGTAGCCGAATTTCTAAACCTGGAGCTGGAACCAGATTAGCAGAACACAAACACACACATGTACTACTGCTACAACAACAACAACTGTTATGGCGGCCCACACCATCACCATGGCCGCCGCTTGAGTTCAGTAGGCCAACCGAAGGTGCACATTTTCAGCTGACCTGTTTGGCAAGTAAACACGATCATTTTGTTTGTTTACAAACTGCTGGATAACGAATGTTTTCTCATCGGAG